TGCAGTAGTCCCGTGGATCGGCCGATCTGCGGGGCGGGCGAGAGGGGCGCGTCGTTCACTTCTGGGTGAGCCAGGCCACAATCCTGACTGCACCGGCGTCAAGTTGGACACCCTTCCCGCCGCACTGGTCGCTCCGAACGGATACACGGGCTTCGGGCCCGCATCTACAAGTGTGGAGGACACAGGCATTATCAAACCGGGAGGGTAAAACATGGTAGTGGTAGCAGGCATTGACGTAGGCAAAGCCAACCTGGACGTTTCGGTCTCGGGTGGCCCGGTGCTGCGTTTCGACAACACCGCAACAGGCATCACCAAGCTGCGCAAACACCTTCAAGAGCACGACACCACCCTGGCCGTCTGTGAACCAACGGGCGGCTACGAACGGCTGCTGACCAGCGGTTGCGCGAGAACCGCTATTGCGGTGCACGTGGTCCACCCGAGCCGGGTGCGCGCTTTCGCCAAAGCCTGCGGTACGAGGCCAAGACCGACCCACCACTGGACGCCAGGTACTCTCCGCTACGGGGAGGTGTTTCCGGAGGCGGATACGTGGGAACGCGAGACCGACCCGCAGCGTGAAGAGTTGCGCGACCTGCTCAGGCGGCGGCGGCAATTTGTTGACCAGCGGGTCCAGGAGTTGGGGCGGCTGGACAAGGGCATTTCCGCCGCTATCGCCAGTCCACCAGGCGCCACATTGCCTGGCTGGAGACGGAGATCGCTCGGCTGGAGAAGGAATACCAGGCAGTCCTACAGGACAATGCCACGCTCGCCGACCGCGCCGCCCTGTACCGCACCGTGCCCGGCTCGGGCCGCTAACCGCGGCAACCCTGGTGGCTCACCTTCCTGAACTGGGCCACTGGGGATAGCAAGGCTTTGACCTCCCTGGTGGGACTGGCGCCCTGGTCCCGAGACAGCGGCAAGAAGCGAGGGCATCGGGCTATCAGGGGTGGCCGGGGACTGGTGCGGAGAGCGCTGTACATGTGCGCGTGGGCGGTCATCCGCCACGACAGCGAAATGCGTCGGTTTTATGACCGACTCGTCAACGTGGGAAGCCGGGGAACGTTGCAGTGGGTGGTAGCGGTGATGCACAAGATACTGCTCCAGCTCAACGCGGTAGCTCGCAGAGGGACGCCGTGGGTGCCACAGGACGCGTGACCACAAGTCCTGACAATCCCACAAAAAAGGCTTGACTTCGAACACGGATACTTGACGGGACACTGCCGAGCGGCAGTTCTGTGAGCGGCTGGGATACGACCTGCTGTTCAAGTGGTTTCTGGACCTGAACATCATGGACCACAGCTTCGACCATTCGGTGTTTGCCAAGAACAAGCAGCGGTTGTTGGACGCCGACGTGGCGCGGGAGTTTCTGCTTGAGATAGTAGAGCAGGCCAGAGAGCAGCGGTTGCTGTCGGAGGCGCACTTCAGTGTGGACGGCACGTTGCTTGAGGCGTGGGCGTCGGTGAAGAGCTTCCGACCCAGTGATGGAGACCCGCCGTCAGGGGATGGTGGACGCAATCCAGAGGTGGATTTTCATGGTGAGCGTCGCAGCAATGAGACCCATAGGTCCACCACGGACCCGGAGGCCAAGCTGGCGAAGAAGGGCCAAGGCAAGGAAGCGGGGCTGTGTTTCGGCGCCCACGTGCTGATGGACAATCGGGAGGTCTCGGTGGCGGACGTGCGCCTCACGCCCGCCACCGAGACCTGGGAACGGGACGCCGCGCTGGAGATGCTGGTGTCAGCGCCGGGGTCTGGACGCATCACCGTGGGCGCCGACCGTGGCTACAACACCAGGGGCTTCGTCAAGGGATGCCGCAAGATGAAGAGTAACGCCCCATGTGGCGCAGAAGCAGCATTCGGCCATTGACCGACGTACCACCCCGTCATGTGGGCTATCGGGTCAGCCAACGGGCCAGGAAACGGATCGAAGAGGTCTTCGGCTGGGTGAAGACGGTGGGCGGCGGCCGGAAACTGCGTTACTGCGGGGTTGACCGCAACCGGTTCTGTATGGAAATGATCACCGCCAGCTACAACTTGGTGCGACTGGCCAAGCTGACGGCGGCGGCGTGAACCGTGGGATCAGTCTGTCCTGAGAACCGCCAGCCGCCCCAGGCCACTTTCCGAACTCTCCAAGTTCGGCGTTAACCGAGTCTCCAACCCCGAAAGGTGGACGTCAACCGCAGTTTCTAGACGTCTCCAAACCTGCAAATCGTCTACCGCTTACCTCATTTCAACACCCTGCTAGTCGATATCGGCTTCAATGGATAGCGTAACGCTGGCCAAGTTTCATTCCTCCAGGTGCGTATCTTTTTTGCCGCGCAGCCGTTTTCGTCCCGAAATGAAAGCGGCGAGAGTGTGCCACTCAGCCATTGCGGCGAGCCACCGGTAGTCCGAACGTGGTGTTGGGGTAAGATCGGAGTTGATCATGGCGGCTGCCACGCCGGGTCGCTCGTCCCCGTTCCCGTCGTCGATATTTGTGGGGTTGGACATATCGGCGTATCCGATATTCATGCAAATCCCATATGATGTAAATCGTCTTCACATACGAGATATTTACGGATTACAATTAAGGGCCTTCAAATGGCAGCGTGTTATCAGCGTGGAATTATTTAACTAGCGCCCGTTCAGGGCCGAAGCGGAAAAGAACCGTCGATCCTGCAACGCTGCATTATCCAGATTGCAGAGTTCGTTCCGGTACAGAATTGGAGGTTGGAATCATGATACGGCGTTTGAATCCAGGCTCAAAAACCCTAATTTTGACCTCTTGGTTGTGTTCTCTGATATTCCTGATTGCCTGTGGAGGAACAGCGTCGCCGACGGTGCCCTCGGAGTCGGAACCTGTGTCGCCGCCGGCCGCCCCCGCCGAGCAGGATACGCCGGTCCCTACAGCTAACCCGGTGCTTGTTGTACCGGATGCCGGATTCCTGCGGGCGTTGGAGCCTGATGCCAAGTACGGTGGCACTCTGAAGTGGGGCGGCATAGCAAGCTCTACTCTTTACGATCTTCACCAGACCAACAGCATAGCCAATATGGGACCGCAAAGGCCCATGTATGACCTCCTGGTGCAGGTAGATCCCGTTGGTTGGGACGAGGTAATCCCGGACTTGGCGACAAGTTGGGAGGTATCGGACGACGGGTTGACTTACACCTTCTTCATCCGTGAGGGGGTGACGTTCCACGACGGCGCTCCCCTGACCGCCGATGATGTTGCGGCCAGCTTCACCCAGATCATTTTCCCACGGGAAGGGGTGCTCAGCCCGCGGCAGACCCTCTTCGAGCCAGTGCAGGAGATCGTGGTCGTTGACCCACTCACCGTTGAGTTCCGCCTTTCGGAGCCCAGGGGTTTTCTGCTACGCGCTTTTGCCGCCGGATTCAATGCGATCGTGCGCAAACAGACCCTGGAGGACAACAACTATGACCTGCGGCGAGTGCCCGACTACCCGGGCACCGGCCCGTTCAAGCACGAGAGCCTGGAGCCCGGAATCGTACGGCGGATGGTAAAGAACGAAGACTACTGGAACCCCGACCTGCCGTACTTGGATGAAATGCACGCCTTTCACCTTGACCTCGGCCCCAAGACCGGGGCAGCCTGCCTGGCTAACACGGTGGATTTTTGCTGGGGCATCGACCCGGTTACCGCCCAGAGGGTCCCGGACGTCGACGGTTTGAGCACCGTTGAAATCTCTCCGGTGATACGTAGCGGGATGTACATCAACGTCCACAAGAAACCTTTCGACGACCCTAGGGTACGCCGGGCTATCAATCTCGTTCTGGACAAGCAAGCTCTGCTTGATTCCGTCGGTGAACTCACCGCTATGTACCCACAAGGGTGGGTCGTGCGCAATGACTCCCTCTTTGCGGAGCACTGGGAGATGGTGAAGGACCAGCCCGGCTACCGCACTCCAACAGCGGAAGATATAGCGGAGGCCCAGCGGCTGATGCAAGAAGCTGGGTACGGAGATGGCGTCGAAGGCGTAGACCTTATCGTACGAGACACCATAGCCTTCGCCGTGGCTTGGGGCCCAATCGTCCAAGACTTGTTGCAGCGGCATCTGAATATTGGCTCCGACATCCGGCTGACCGCTTCCGGGGTATGGTACGAAGAGATGGACCGAGGTAATTGGGACCTATCTCCCATCGCTATGGCCGTCGTGATTCCGCACGTCGGAGATTACTGGGCCGCCGGATGGAAGACCGGGGGAGGCAGAAATTACAACGACTACTCCAATCCGGTCTTCGATGAGATCCTGGCCCAAGCGGCGCGCACGTCCGATCCGGAAGAATATAAGACCCTGGTTTACCGGGGCGCCGATATCCTGGAGGAGGACTTGCCCTTCATCACCTTCGGTAATCTAGTCGTTTCAGTAGCTTGGTGGGACTACGTGCATCCCGGCGCGACGGCTGCCAAAGGAGGCAACTTCTGGGACGGAATGCGCCGGGAGATCTGGTGGGTGGATCAGGTCCAATAACATCCCATGCCGGCTCAGGAGACCCCGAATCAAGACAAACTGTAAGTTGGCGGGTATTACGCTGGGTCGCCCAAGCTCCGGGAGGAGGTACAGAATCAGATGCAAGGATACATTCTGCGCAGGTTGTTGTACGCCATACCGACGGTGATCGGCGTTTCCCTCATCATCTTCCTGGCGATGCGGGTGGTGCCCGGGGATCCAGTGGTGGTGATGTTTGGTGATGAGCCGGAGCTAATCCGGGCGGAGGACCGGGCCAAAATCGAGGCCGACTTGGGACTGAGCGACCCCTTGGTGGTGCAGTACGGCAAATGGATGAAGGACATCGGCACCGGCAAATTGGGCGTCTCCTTCTGGAGAGGTGACACCGTCGCCGACCTGATCAAACGCCGGGGACCCCTGACCATAGAGATTGCGGTATTGGCGATCATCCTCGCCTGGGTGATCGGAGTGCCCGTCGGCATCCTGTCCGCCCTGCACCAGAACTCGGTGGCGGACTACCTCGCCAGGTTCTTCACCGTACTCTTTCTGGCGATACCCAGCTTCTGGCTGGCATCTCTGGCGGTGCTGGTCCTCGTCCTGGTGTGGGGTTGGGGCGCCCCCCTGGGGGTGATAGACGTTTGGGAAGACCCCATCCAGAACCTGCAAATCGTACTACGTCCGGCAATCGTGCTGGGGCTGGCGGTGTCGGCTTACATCGCCCGCATGACCCGTTCCTCGCTTCTTGAGGTAATCCGTGAGGACTACATCCGGACCGCTCGGGCCAAGGGACTTCGGGAAAGGATGGTGGTCTGGCGTCATGCCCTGCGCAACACCATGCTACCGGTGATAACCCTGTCCGGCGTCCTCTTCGGCTTTATGCTGGGTGGCTCGGTGGTCTTGGAACAGGCTTTCAATGTCCCAGGTCTGGGAAGAGCGATGGTAGAAGCCTTCGTTGACGTCGACTATATCGTAATCCAGAACTTGGTCTTACTTTACGGTGTGGTCTTTGTGGTGATAAACCTGCTGATCGATATTAGCTACGCATGGCTAGACCCTCGAATACGCTATGGATAATAGTCCGTGTAGCTTGTCGCTAGAACCCGGTGCGTGGTGTAGCCAGGCTACTCCGCTGGACCAGGTAGCCCGATCACTTCATTTGTACACATAGGGGGGCGATTTGGCACAGTACAGTGAAGTTCCAACACAACCGACCGCAGTTCTCCGAACCGGCGTTGGTGTCCCGGTATGGAAGTCAGTCCGGAGCATAGCCACTTTTGCCAAGCGCTACCCGCTAGGTTTTGCCGGTGCGGTGATTTTGTTGATAGTGGCATTCCTCGCCATCGCGGCTCCTCTGGTTACCGTTCAGAATCCTGACCAAGTGAACCTTGGTGAGCGTAAAGAAAGCCTTCCTGGTCCCAATTTCTGGGGACGGACTATAACGGCCGGGACATCTTCACCCGGGTAGTCTATGGCGGGCGGGTCTCCTTGCAGGTGTCCTCCCTGGCCGTGTTGCTGGGCACCACCGTCGGCGCCATGTGGGGCGTTGCCAGCGCTCACATAGGTGGTCGATTCGACATGATCAGTCAACGGGTCCTTGAGGTTTTCATGGCGTTTCCCTCCTTGGTCCTGGCAATGGTTCTGCTGGTAGGGATTGGGGCGGGGCTTTGGACCGTAATCATCGCCATCTCCGTCACCCGTCTTCCTTATGGGGTACGCGTCGTGCGATCGGTAGCCATGTCGATTAAGGAAACCGACTATGTCTTGGCAGCCCAGGCAATCGGAGTGTCCAACCTGCGAATGATGTCCCGCCACATAGCGCCCCAGTGCATTGCGCCCTTCCTGGTGCTGGCCTCGGCACATCTGGGGGTGGCTATAATAATCGAGTCCTCCCTGGGTTTCCTGGGGGTAGGGATTCCGCCGCCAACCTCCACTTGGGGAAATATGCTGGGCGGTGCCGTAGCCAACGTCCTTATACCGCACTGGCCACTAGTGGTCTTTCCGGGAGTGGCCATCACACTCGTGGTGCTTGGGTTCAACTTCTTTGGTGATGCGGTTCGGGACGCTTTCGACCCGAAACTGCGTGGCCGGTAGCGAGTACCGTAGATGGCCTGGCTACGGGCTGTATCCCAAAGTCTATTGTCCGGCGACCAGTTGTAGATTACCCCTTATTCCGTGCTCGCCAATTACGGTGTCTGGCCCTTTTCGGGAGATTTCCCGTGTGCTGCGGTCTGGACAGAGCCGGCCAGGCTCCATTGTTGCGTCAGCACTCCATGCAGCCAAATCCGAATTTCACTCTCACCCAACCCTCATTCCAAGGGGTTGCGCAGCCATTTTGTTGGACGCTCTAAAATCCTTCTCAAGACGTGGTGCGGCCAGTTACCACAAACGCCACGACATATTGGGGCATTTGCCTGTGCCGGTGGAGAGGTGCGCCCATCGGCATATAGCCCATCGAGATCGTCACTTTAGAAGAACTGAGTAAGATGCAAGGATACATTCTTCGCAGGTTACTGTACGCCATCCCCACGATAATCGGCGTTTCCATCATCATCTTCATGGCGATGCGCGTGGTGCCCGGGGATCCAGTGATGGTCATGTTCGGGGATGAGCCGGAGCTAATCCGGCCGGAGGACCGGGCCAAAATCGAGGCCGACCTGGGGCTGAGCGACCCCCTGGTGGTGCAGTACGGTAACTGGATGAAGGACATCGTCACCGGCAAATTGGGAGTTTCCTTCTGGAGAGGTGACACCGTCGCCGACCTGATCAAACGCCGGGGACCCCTGACCATAGAGATTGCCGTATTGGCGATCATTCTCGCCTGGGTGATCGGAGTGCCCGTCGGCATCCTGTCGGCCCTGCATCAGAATTCGGTAGCGGACCACCTTGCCAGGTTCTTCACCGTTCTCTTTCTGGCGATACCTAGCTTCTGGCTGGCATCGCTGGCGGTGCTGGTCCTCCTCCTGGTGTGGGGGTGGGGAGCCCCCCTGGGGGTCATAGACATCTGGGATGACCCGATCCAGAACCTGCAAATCGTGGTACGTCCGGTTATCGTGCTGGGTCTGGCGGTGTCGGCTTACATCGCGCGAATGACCCGCTCCACGCTTCTTGAGGTAATCCGCGAGGACTACATCCGAACCGCTCGGGCGAAGGGGTTGCGGGAAAGGGTGGTGGTCTGGCGTCATGGCCTGCGCAACTCCATGCTGCCGGTGGTGACTCTGTCCGGCATACTCTTCGGCTTCATGCTCGAAGGCTCGGTGGTCTTGGAACAGGCCTTCAATGTCCCAGGTCTGGGTAAATCGATGGTGGGAGCCTTCCGTGACATTGACTACACTGTAATCCAGAGCCTGGTTTTGCTCTACGGCGTGGTCTTCGTGGTGATCAACCTGCTGATCGATATTAGCTACGCTTGGCTAGATCCTAGAATACGCTACGGGAAATAGTCCATGTAGCTTGTCGCTAGAATTGGGTGGGTGGCGTAGCGCATTGCCTCACCCAAACCGTTACCCAACGAAGGTGGTTGCCTCGAATAAAATGTTACCCAAAATCGGGGAGGCGATCGCGTGAGAGGAAGCATCAGCAAGATAGCAAAACAGTAATTGCTGGCGACGATTGTGAACGACGCCCTGGCCGGCGCGGTTCTCGGAGCTCGCTACGGTGCCTGGAAGAACGAACCGTGCATCGGTTGTTGAACACGCTGCTGATAATGGTTTGCCTGTTGGTTATGCTGGCCTGCGGAGGTGACACCGACGACCGTATGGTGCGTCAGTACGCCGGATGCCTGACGGACACCAACACCGCTCTGTATCGCATGACCGTGTCCAGCGGCACCGTAACGCTGAGCGCCGAGGCGGCGGGAGCTGCGGGAAGAACGCGGGCGAAAGGCGCTGGGGTGGAGGGCAGTCCGGTATCAGAATGGTCCCCGCCAGGCTGAATGCCCGGTGCGTTATGGTGGCGACGGA